GCTTTCCTCAGCGCGGGCCCCGTTTCAGTCCATCATCAGTGGGTGGTTCATCAGACGTTCTGTCCAAGTGTACTAGCAGGGCGACTCTTACTTGACAAAACGCCGGGATATGTTTGATCTCATCCTCACCACAGCACTGAGAAGTGTCCTGCGTGTGTCAGAGGTGAGGAAGTTGGCATCAGAGGTGGGTGTTCAGTTCATTCCGTTGTGGAATTGGGGCTGGAACCAAACCGTCTGCCAGTCGCATCTGTGTGGGGTCCCACGATGTTTCTAGAACTCTTTGTACCAAACGCTCGGCGTGCTCCAACCTGTGGCATTTTGCAGAATCAGTGTTTCATTCTCTGCATCCCACCTGACCACCGCAGCAGCCCCCTCTTCAGATGAGCAGGACCCTTCAGGTGGGGAAGGGAGGTCCGTTGAGGTTGGGGTTGAGCACCACAAAGGAAGAGACCCCGCCCCACCACCTCAGTGTGGGATTTGCCCGCAGTCCAGGCATTCTCTGCCTCAGAATGGCGGGTCTCACAAAGGCTGCAGTGTTACCGCTTTCTCAGCTATGCCGGCCCCCACTCAAGGCTCCTACTTGGTGGGGAGGGCAGAGTAGGCTTGGGCCCCGGGCTGGCGCTCTCCATGGCCGCCTCAGCCTCAGACAAGCTGCTCCTCCAGAGGCTCCAGCTGCAGCCGCCGCAGCAGAATTGGGCCTGATCGAGGTAGAGGCCGCCTGCAGCACCCAGCTTCCCGTTAATCTTCCCTTCACTGGCCGCAAAGTGACGATCTTCTTTGCAAACTCTGGCCTTCCGTGTAGTCGGGCTGTGAATTACCCACACTTAATGGGACGTTTCTGCTGGCTTGTGGAGAGGAGGCGAATTTAAAAGCAAAGTCACTGTGCGATCGTCGGCGAGTCTCAAGATCTTACTTCAGACCCCTTTCGCTATTTTTTCACCGTCCTCCATTTCTCAATAGCCATCGCTTCAGAAAGTGACACAGGTTGCACTTTGGGGACTGTCCCCGCCTCCCCCACGGTCAGTGGGAGGTTGCTGGCCCCTGCTCTGCCCCCTCTCCTGTCTTGCTGTCTGGCACCCAGGCTTCCCATGACGGCTGCCCACGGGGGGCGTGGTGGGGACGTGAGGGCAGACGTGGGGTGTCTCACCCTCTGCTCCCTCAGCTCCTGACACGGCAGATCTCTCAGCGTTGCTCTAAGGCACTCACTCCCTCTGTGCCCAGAAGAGCAGGCCGCAACCCTTTTTTTTTTTTTTTTTTTTTTTTGAAAGTTCCTTGGTCATTCTTGTACATTTTGTTTCCTAGACGAATTTGAGTCACCTTCTGAAGGGCTCTGATCATGTGCAGGACCATAGCTGCCTTCTTGCACTCACATCACAGACAGTGAGCATCTTCCTCACAGTGTTTCTGTCCCACTCATGGCATTCCCCCTCTGTTTACTCAGCTTTTCTGCTTTTGCCCCCTAGTAAAATTGTCTTGCTTTCCTCGTGTACATACTGTAGAATTTAAGTTTTTGCTCTTCTTAGAAATGTTCTGTGTCAGTTTGTTGCTATGTTTTTTCTTGTTTTCAGTCTGTTACTGGCCCACAGACAGGGGTTTGTAAAGTACCTTCATTTTTCAACTGTTACACGTATATGTATATATTTCTACTTTGAACACATTGATGATGAAGGATTTTTTTAAAAATCATGACTACACCATTTTGCACTTTATAACCAATGGGGTCTTAGATTCTAGAACGTTCTATGTACAGAGGTGAAATGCTACGACAGGCATCGGACTGTGGCAGATAAGTGAAAGGTTTCATAGAACCTTGGCTTATTTTCTATTTCTTTTATGTAGTCCTGAACTGTTTGCTGAAGCATGAGGTACTTTGACAAGGTGTCCTGTCCTCCCCAGGAAGTGAGGCCTGTTTTGCTCACTCAGGAGCTGGAGGGCGGGCCGCCTTCTGGTCCTCACTCTTGCTCTGTGGTGACACTGTTCATTCATCTGGGGCATAAAATGTGCTCTCCTCCCCGCCCTCCCTCTGCTGAGACTGAATGAAGTGGAGTCAGTCAATAAAGACCCTATTAACGGGTTAAGGAGAAATTAATGGGAGAAGGAAGGTCCAGAAGGAGAGCCCTGGTGCTCTGAGTGGGTCATGGTCAGCGGTGTGGAGACCCCACTGCGGTGTCCCTACCTCACCCCAGCACTGCGGCGTGAGATGCCCAGAGCCTCTCATCAAGAGAGTCATCCCCCCCTGGACGCCACTTGCAGGGTGTTTGAGAAAACCCATCTTACAAAAAATACATAATTCAACCTTGACGACAGAGTAAAAAAAGTAACCTCAGAAAGAAAACGGGAACTGATGGCTAAGCTGATCCTAAAAGCATGCTAGCGAGCCACCAGCCCTGGGAGAAGTAGAACGGGGAACAGGAAGGTTCTGCTGACCTCGCCTTCAAAGACACGTACTGTCCACCCTGGTCCCCCAAGTCAAGAAGGGGCCCCGGGACTGTAGTGGGGACTTGAAAGGAATCTGTTAAAGCCCATGTGTCCTGGTCCCTCCCTGGAGGTGCAGCGGCACTATGAAGTGATCCGCAGCCACTGCAGCACACGTTTGAGTCCCCATCTCTGGCCTGTACCCCACTTCTTGTGTGCATACATAAATACAATCTTTAAAAGAAAAAAAGAAAGCCCATACATGTCCTAATCCAAATGGCTGTGCCTGGTAGCACTGCCTTCCTGACCCTAGATGTCACTTAGAACCTTGGTGGGGCCCAGGGGAGCCCTCACCGGCGCCCCAGAGGCCCAGGGTGAGCTCAGAACCCATGGCCTGGATGGCCAGCACTCTGCTCACCACACCACCCTTCAAACGATTTCTCTTCTGCCTGTGTCAGGCATGCTAAGTTGCAGCCTTATAACAGTGTACCCCAAAACCGACACGGTGTCAGTAGTGACATGGATCCCCCAGGGCTTTGTAAACAGCATGTACTGTGCAGAAGACGCTGCCAGAAGAAACCTGCGGGCAGCAGCAGTTCTGTGCTGCCCTGCGGGCCTGGCAAGGCTGCCTGCGGCTGCACGCGAGCACCCTGTGGGTGCAGAGGGTCTGTGCCTGCTTCCACGCCCGGTCGCGGGATGGTGGTGTCGGTGGGCAGCGGATTTGTTTTCTTTAGGGCAGAATTATGGGGGCTTCAGAATGCTGTGACTTCAGTTTGCCGTCAGGAATCCCAAGTCGGAGACTTTGACAAAGACTCACTCAGAGATGACTTAGCACAGAAACAGGATTGTGTGTCCAGAATGAAATACAGCCAGGCCGGCGCCCCTGCAAACCAGCTGCACTCATTTTCAATGCTGATCCACCAGCCTGGCAAAAATGGGTTAGCGGAGCTTCCTGAGACGTGAATCAGGCCTGCAGCTTGAGCGGAGCCACTTCCATCAGGGGGTCTGTGGCCCCGCGTCTCTGGCTACGAAGTGACAGGCCTGAGAGTGAACCTTGTTCTCACACAATGAGGGAGGGAACCCCCCCCCCCCGAGAGTTACCATGGGTGCCTGCCGCTGCAGCATGACTTCTGTTCTGCGTGAACTGCAGCAATAGACAGCTATGAAGTCCTAGGTCTGTGGATCTATAGAACCGCAAGCTGATGCCCCCTCGTAGTCCCATGATAATGCAGGAGGGCTGGTCAGGTGAGAGTGACCGCAGGGTCAGGCCACAATGCAGTTAGCACCCTCCTCAAGTCGGTGCCTCCTACGGGGAGCTGAGGCTGGTGGTCACTGTGTTGCTTTTATATCAGATCCACAGCTTCTGCTTATTTTGTAAATTTATTGCTGATAGTTTTGAGTCTCGATTTCATTTTTATTACTTCACCTGAGAGCTTACAATCTGCATTCTTGGGCCACCAGCTACTGTTAGGTCGTTGCTACCACCTCCGAACTGATCTGAACAAATGAAAAACTTTCCCACCTTAGGGTAGTTAACTGTCTGATGAAATACTTTTTATCAAAGACGGGTGTCTAATGGCAATAATGTATCTTCTTCTTTACTTTCTTTTACAAAATTAAAAAAAAAGTTTATTCTGCACCGCTGGTGGGAATGCAAACTAGTACAACCACTGTGGAAAACTGGAGGTTTCTCAAACTGCTAAACATGGAGCTTCCATACGACCCAGCAATCCCACTCCTAGGTATCTACCCAAAAGACACAAAAACACTGATTCAAAAAGATTCCTGCATCGCATGCTTATTGCTTTATTTACAATTGGAAAGACATGGAAACAGCCCAAATGCCCCAAAGTGGATGACTAGATTAAATAGATGTGGTACATATACACAATGGAAATTTACTCAGCAATCGAAAAAGATAAACTCATCCCTTTGGCAGCAACATGGATGGAACTGAAAAAGATCATGCTTAGTGAAATAAGCTAGAAAGAAAAAGCAGGACCAGGCGAGAAAATGATGATAATGAACAACTGTATACCATAGACATTTTAGGAGGGTGGAGTGGGGAATGGGATCAAAAACAGTGGGGGGTGGGAAGTGCACTGGACTGTGGTGAAGGCACACGGGTGATTTGGTGATGGGAAGCCCACGGGGATTACAACTGAGATGGAAAAAAAGCACAAAATGATGTAAAAATAAACTATTACATTATTTAAAAAAATAATTATTTATGCAATCAGAACTGGGGTACAAGCCAGAGGTGCAAAGGTGAGAGGATTCACCAGGGACAGAGTGGGGAGCAGAACAGGCAGATTGACAAAGTACACTGCTGAGGGGAGCAGCGGGCGGGTCAGGAGAGGTCTGCCGCACCATGTGGGTCCACCTCCCTGGCCAGGGATCGAACTTGCGCTGCAGTGGCTGTGGAGAGCTTCCTAGTGCTGTGCTTTACCTGTTGCGCCACCGGGGAGGGCCCTGCTTTACTGTCCACTAGTTTACCTGCAGCCTTTGATAGGCTGGGTGGCGGCTGGCGCTGGTTATGAACTGTTGGTCTTTCCTAACATGAATGTTTGTATTTTGATTTCCAGGATCTGCAGAGGTGGGTAAGTGGTGCAGATGAGCATGGCTTTGTCCTGGTGTCTTTTGGAGCCGGGGTCAAGTATCTGTCTGAAGACATCGCTAACAAACTGGCCGGAGCTCTGGGGAGGTTGCCCCAGAAAGTGATTTGGAGGTAAATTCACAATGCCGACTGTTTCTCTCCTGTGGACTTTCAGTATCCCTTGTTAGCCATAGTCCTAGTCACACCGACTCCCTGGCAAGATGAGGCAGAGGCATCTAGGTTTTCTTTGAGTGTGGAAACCCGGGCATGAGTTGATAAGACTCCGCTGGACTCAGACACCTAGCGCTACACAGAGAGAACGCACGCAGCGACTCAGCCTGCGTTTCATGCCTTTTGGTTTCGTTCTCAGCGCTCCAACCTCAGTCGCCCATTATTTGTCATCATGAAATGCTCTTGTGCGCGCATTTCTGTACGCTCCTGCAATACGTGTTGGGACCAGCTCAAATGGTGGATGAATACATAAGTAAGCGCTCCTCAGGGCTCCACTGGGGGTCCCCCTTGCTTTGCTTTGCGAATGCTTTAGATTTACTTCTCCAGCAGGTCAGGCCTTCGGAGCACAGCAGCCGACCAAGTAGCACCAGTTAAGACAGAACCGTAGATTGGCTGAGCCTTTTGGGGGGAACCAAAAGGTGCCAAGGTGTTTGTCTCTGGAATTTCAGTGTGTACAAATTAGAGCTGAGAACCTCACTGGCATGTTTTTGTTGAGTTGCCTGGAGATAAAGCAGAGAGCAGTGCCCCCCTCAACCCCCCCCCCCCAGCTTATACATGGTGGGGAGAGACCATCTCCCTGGGCTGCAGGTAGCACCCTGTTTCCTGCACTGCAGCGGTAGGGTCCGCTCTGCTGCTGCACCCTGGCGCAGCTGTGGGTAGCTTCCTGTTGTATTCCAGGCCTGCAGGACTGTTGCCCTGTTGGGTTTCTTCTACTGCCCCAACCCAGAAAGCACCTTGCTGCTTCATTTGGACCATTTGTGTCCCCAGTGCAAACTCTTTGCTCTTCTCTTTCCAACATGAAGGCAGCAGACACCTGATGCCGCCCTCGACCCCTCAGTCTGCCTCTTGCAGTCCTCCCACACCCGCACATGGCTCCTGTGTGAGGGACTGAGCCAGGGGTCCACCCCC